TTAATCATTAGTTCCTCCAAAGCCTTCATTGTCCTTCGAAGATTAGAAAAGAAAAAACATGGCCAAGAAAGTAGGAATAATTTAGAAGATGATGATCCTACCATTATTTTCCGAAGTTGTTTTGGTGAAAGAAATTCATTACTTTTTCAGAGTAGAGTTCCCCCCCTGCCTTCTTTCATCCTCCTGGTTTGAAGCATTTTCAGGGCCGTGTAGGAAGCATTTTTTTGTTAAGGAGGAAAAACATTACCGCTCGGTAGGTGGTGAATGCTGGAAAAACAAAAATTTGGTCGGCTAAGGCAGCTTGTCTTTTGCATAGACGCTGAACAAATTACGGCTGACGAATGTCAACTGGAGTTTTGTGGAAAAGGATGTCCTACTGACTGATTGATACTCAGCATACATGTGAAGCCTGATCACAAATACATATAGATTGGCTTTCATCGAAACCGAGTCAGTGACCAATTTGTGAATATTACAACACTTAGATTAATTCGTAATTTCCAGTTTGCACATAGTTTGAGGTGGAATTTCATCACAGCTGATGCCAGAAATGTCTATCACTAAATCAAGTATAAATGCTTCCTGATACTTTATACTACTAATTAGTTCACATCAACCCGTACTGCTACCTTCATAGATTGATTGAAGTGATCTAAACATACTGGACATCCGTTCCGCTGTTTCGGTGCGGACCTCGTCACTATGATGTATCCGGCGTGACACACCTCATACGAATTCAGGCCACTTGGTAATAGACTGGAAGAAATTCTCAATCTACTCATAGTTCGAGGAGAAGAAAGCTCAGTACGTAGTTTCCTTAGGAAAAGGAAATTATTCAGATAACACAGAATATGTTCTATGTTGGACGATATAAGTAGGAATCAAGAGAGCAAGTAAAGATATAATGATATTGCTATATACTACCGATTGATATAGATGAGTAATTGAATAACGCCATTGACATATCACCTATTATTGCACTTCTTGCTAGCCAGATTATTGAAGTGATCTACACATGGGTCAGGCGTTTCGCTGGAATGGGATGGATCTCATGTTGTGTGATCCAAAGGAAAGTGTGTGTGTGTTTAATATAAGTATAAAACTTGGGCACTGTAGTAGAGCATAACTCCATTATGTATAAGATTTTATTTTGATAAATCACGCAGTTTTATAAAATAATATTAACTGATGACCGCATTTCGAGCATAAACTAATGCTCATAATCATATCAACTTGTGTGTGTTTAAATTTCACCTC